ATTAGGGGCATTGTTCTGGAAAAAAAGTGCTTTCATTTTGAGCAGATCTTCAAAGTAGTCACTCTCCCTCTAAATGACTACAGACTTAGGGAATGAAGTGCAGGTGTGTTTTTGAAAAATGAAAATATAATAACTACCAAAGAGTTAGGTATTTTCGTGTCTTCCAAGCAACAGTTCAGATAAAGCTGGTGTTTGTGCAGCTTTTCTTGTTTTGTCATCAGGGCGGTGAGCCATGGTGGTTGCATATTTGTGATTTCTCCTTATTTGGCAGACTGAGGCCCAGAGGATTAACACTAAAGCTCAGGACTTTTGTCCTCTTTTGGACGGCTGCCTGGATAGATACTCAGATGAGCTCTCCACACGATGATACGGGGCTCTGTGCTGTGTGGGGTTGGGAGTGGGGACGAGGAGACAGAGAGTGGAGTATAGTTTTTCTTCACCCTGTCCCTAGTTACGTCCTCCATGGTCTTCCTGTAGAGTCCTCTGTGGAGATGGATTTGTAGAGATAGCCTGTCTGCTTGGAGATCTTGGAATGACCCTACAGATTATGCTTTTAGAGTGGTTTTAGCCCTCTGAAAGCCTGCTTGTCCTTTGGGGTTTTTTTCTGGGGTGGGGTTAGGGTTTAAGAGTTGTGGGTTGACTTGGCCCAGAGTTGCCTCAAATTCCCTTCTCCCTGCAGAGTTTAGGCAGGTATTGCTGTGGGGATACAGGGTATTTACTGGGAGGGGAAAGACTATGTTTATTCGTGATGGTAGGAAAGGACCTCTCATCAGCTTGCGTCTTGGCACACGTGAGAGCCGAGATGCAGCCACGCGGTGTGCTCAGGAGGTTTGAGCAGGCTTCCTTGAGAATGGTCTGAGGCTCTTGGGTTCCTTCTGCCTGGAGATGGGGAGCATTTGGGATTCCAGCTTGTTTCTGCATTCTCTCTCCCTGCCTTCTGCCAAGCCATCCTATCCCTGACCATGTAGTGCCATAAGAAGTCATGGATGTGCGGTGCCGGTGGGGTGCATCTGGCTCCAGCAGGGAATAGAGAGGGGCTCATTAAGTTGAGGCTTGGGGCAGTGGAAGCAGAGCCCCCCAGAAAATCACAGGGAAGAACCAGTAGGAGGGCAGGAAGAGAGAGGCCATTGCTGTTTTGGCTTTGGCAATTTTTCTACATAGACTGGGGTCTATAGAGCTGTGTTAGATAGTATGTTGACTCATTCTGGGTGGCTTTCTGCTGCTTGGCAGAAATCTGCCTTGGGAAGAGGAAAAAGAAAGCAGGATGGGCTGGTGCCCATGTGCCCTCTTGGAAGTATCAGCTACATCATCTCAGGCCCCCTCTGCATGGGAGAGCCTCCTATAATCTGCTCCATATGCTCACCTTAGCTCCTGGGCATTTTCAAAGTTGGAAACCCTTCATCTGGAGCCTTCAAGAGGAGTACTACTTAAAGTGCCAGTCTGCCAGGAGATAAGAAGCACATGCACCAGAATGTGAAACTGTTCCCTTCGTTGAGAAAATCTTAGTAT